ACACACAGTGGAATGCTATGCAACATTAAAGAATAATGAAGAATACATGAATCACCTCATAACGTGGATGAACTTGGAGGACATTATGCTGAGTGAAATAAGTCAATCACAAAAGGTCAAACTTTGTATGAGTCTGTTATTATTAAAAAAAAAAAAAAAAAGTCAAGGAAACAGAACAATCAACCATGGGGGAAAAGAAGGGTGATATTTGTTCAGGGAGATAGTTCAGAGGGAAAAAAAAAAAAAAAAAAAGTCAAGGAAACAGAACAATCAACCATGGGGGAAAAGAAGGGTGATATTTGTTCAGGGAGATAGTTCAGAGGGCTAGAACGCACAGGAAAGACAAACACAGGGAAAGGTAACCACAGGGAGGAAGTGGGGAGAGAGCTGTTACATCATGGGGGTTGCAATCAATGCCAAGAAACAAAATGCATATGGACTGTTGTACAGAAAATGAGTATGCTCTGTGAAGTTTCACCCAAATCACATTTAAAAACATAAATAAAAGGAAAGATTTACATAGAGAAGGAAATTTTCTTTGTTGGTTACCAGAGATGGGAGGGCAGGGCAAGGAAATCAGCTGACTCATTGAGAGACACATGTTGATCTGGGTGAAGGGAAAGACAATGTAACAAAAATGTGTGACCAGTACAATTTCACAAAGGAAAAGAAAGACAAAGAGAGGTGTACAACAGGTACAGACAACAAAGGTAAATACTATTACATACACACAACACTGCAGTGTCAGTAATAACAACTGCTAATCATGGGTGGATGTGTAGGTAGACAGGTAAGCAAATCAGGTATGGATGTTGTTGTTGCTGTTGTGAGGTGCCATTGAGTCATCTCTGACTCACAGTGATCCTATGTACAACAGAAGAAAACACTGCCTGGTCCTGTACCAGCCCCATGATCCTTGCTACACGCTGCAGCCACTGTGTCAATCCATCTTGTTGAGGGCCTTCCCCTTTTTCATTGACCCTCCACTTTACCAAGCATGATATCTTTCTCCAGGGAATGGTCCCTTCTGACAACATAACCAAAGTAGGTGAGATGAAGTTTGGCCATTCTCGCTTCCAGGGAGCATTCTGGCTGTACTTCTTCCAGGACAGATCTGTTAGTTCTTTTAGCAGTCCATGGTACTCTCAGCATTCTTCGCCAACACTACAACTCAAGTGCATCAACTCTTCTTTGGTCTTCCTTATTCACTGTCCAGCTTTCACACGCATAGGAGACAACTGAAAATACCATGGCTTGGGTTAGGTGCACTGTAGTCTTCAAGGAGATATCTTTGCTCTTCAGCACATGAAAGAGGTCTTTTGCAGCAGATTTGCCCAGTGCAATACGTCATCTGATGTCTTGGCTGCTGCTTCCATTGGTATTGATTTTAGAACCCAGTAATATGAAATATTTGACAACTTCAATCTTTTCTCCATTTACTGTGATGTTTATTGGTCCAGTTGTGAGGACTTTTGTCTTCTTTATATTGAGGCATAATCCATACTGCAGATTGTAATCTTTAATCTTAATCAGTGCAGGTGTAGAAAGGCAAAGGGGAATACACCCCTGATTACACACAGGCTTGGCAGACAATCTTCCCATATATGTATTTGTATGTGCTATAAAAATGTCTATGTACTTTATAGAGCTAACACAGGGCCAATCACCCTGAGGGAATGACTCGCTGGGCCTGTACACTCAGGATCATGGCCATGGGGGACATCAAGCTTAACTGGCACAACATAGTACAAAAAACATTGTTCCACATCTCACTTTGTTGAGTAGTGACTGGGGTCCTAAAAGTTTGCGAGTGGACTTCTAAGATGCACCTATTTTCTCTCCTCATGCTGAGCAAAGAAGACTGAAGAAAATCAAAGATGTCTGGAAACAATTAGTCCAAGGGACCAAAATATCACAGGAATGTCAGCCTACATGACCCTGAGATCAGAATAACTAGATGGTGCCCAGCTACCAATGTCAACCACTCAGAAAGGGTTCAAAATTGGAGAGAGTAGAGAAAAAGTGTGCAATAAATTCAAAAACACAAAAACAACCAGCATCGCTGGTTGGATATAGACTGGTGAAACGCCCAAGACTATGTCCCTGAGTCACCCTTTGGGCCTGAAACTGGTCTCTGTCCCATTGCTTGATTCTCAGCCAAATAACAGACAGCCCTATAAGCTGAACAAATAGACCAGGGAGATGCACTCCTTAGAACAGTCAACCACGGGAGGTTGCAAGGGTAGCATTTGCACAGGAAGAAAGCTAGGCAGGCAGGAATGCATAGGTAGGAAGAAGTATACAGTGAAGGGGTAAACCACAGGGAAGAGGTGGTATAAAAGGTGTTATATCGTGGGGATTGTAATCAATGTCACGAAACAAAATGTTTATGGACTATTGAACATGAAGTCAATCTGCTTTGTAAAACTGCACCCAAATCACAATACAAAGTTAAAACAACAACAAAACCCAACTATAGTTTAGCTTAACTAGCAAAAATGCCTGTCTTGACCATCATGCTCTTTTAAGAACCACCTATATGGGATCAAACCGACAGCAGCAACTCCAAAGAGAAGACAGGAACCATACGTGGCAATGAGTTTATGTGAATGAGAGAGGAGCAACTCAAAAAAGAACGGTGCACAACTTGAAGAAATATAATCATTGTCAGTGAATGGTACATGTAGAAAGCGTCGAATTGGTGCTCTGTTTTGCTATGTAGATTCTCAACAACAAGAAAATAAATAGAAACGAAAGGAAAAGGAAAAAGAACCAGCTGCTGAGGAGCTTTGGAGGATGTTCCACAGGGAGAACCTGCTGAGCCAGGTCCGTGGCGTGCGAACCCAGGGGAGAGGGAGGAAGGGCCGAGGGGCAAGCCACCAAAGAGAAACACCAACGCCTGAAGTCCAGATGGAAACATATCAGCACCTTTGCACTAAGTGCTCAAGAAATAACCCCAAGAGACTGTTAATGCTTTGTAGACTGCCCGTCTGCTTCATCCAGCAAAGATAAAGATAAAGATACTTTATCTTCTGAAAGAGTGTTCTGGTTTACCTAGTGCCACGCTGACAGAAATACACCACATATGGGATGGCCTTAACAAACAGGAGTTTATTCTCTTACAGTTTGGAGGCTTTAAGCCCAAGTTCAAAGTGCCAGGCTCTAGAGGCTGGGTGAAAGCACCTCAACCTTGGGGTCCAGCTGCCTACTGCTCCCAGCCTACAGGAGCTAGAGGCGTTTCTTCACTCAGACAGCTGCTGGCTGCTGAGGCTGAAAAACCCAAGGTTGACAAGGAAAAAGGCACAG